TACGGAACCGAAAACACCACAGAAATGCATTAAACTTAGTTTAATGCGTTCCTATGGCTCCTAAACTCACCGTTGTGCGAAGTTTCCCCATAGCGCTGCCATTTTCGCGCCCTCGGTAAGCGAGGGCAGGGCGTGAAAATGCTGCGCGCGGCCATTTTGGGCTTCTGGTGGCCATTTTGGAACCACCAATCAGCTGTTTTTAAAAATCGCTATGCGAAAATCGGTAAGCAAAACGCTTACCGATCGTCGCAAAGCGATTTTGTCCCTATCTAAACATCGCAATGCAATCGCTTTTGCAGTCGCAATCGCGACTCGGTAAGCGAGGGCAGGGCGTGAAAATGCTGCGCGCGGCCATTTTGGGCTTCTGGTGGCCATTTTGGAACCACCAATCAGCTGTTTTTAAAAATCGCTATGCGAAAATCGGTAAGCAAAACGCTTACCGATCGTCGCAAAGCGATTTTGTCCCTATCTAAACATCGCAATGCAATCGCTTTTGCAGTCGCAATCGCGACGTCGCTATGCGATCGCAATTGCGACGTCGCTATGTGGAGACGTCGTTAAACTGTGCACTCGTTAAGCGAGGCACCACTGTAAAAGGGAGCGGCCCTACTTATCAGAGTATCAAAATGATAACTCTTGAGTTGAGTTTTATCTCCAATTAGCTGTAAGAGGAGAAAAAGGAAATTTATAGATTTTAACTGCAAGTAATGGGCATTGCAGTCATTGCAGATGGTGACTGCAGCCACAAAATTAAAAGCTATCTGCTACTTGGGAGGAAAGCGATGACAAACCTAGACAGCATCTTAAAAAGCAGAGACATCATCTTGCCGACAAAGGTCCGCATAGTTAAAGCTGTGGTTTTTCCAGAAGCGATGTATGGAAGTATGAGCTGGACCATAAAGAAGATTGACCACCAAAGAATTGATGCTTTTGAATTGTGGTGCTGGAGGAGACTCTTGAGAATCCCCTCGACTGCAAGGAGAACAAACCTCTCCATTTTGAAGGAAATCAACCCTGAGGAAATCAACTGGAAGGACAGATTCTGAAGCTGAGGCTGCAATACTTTGGCCAATTCATGAGAAGAGAAGACTCCCTGGTAAAGACCCTGATGTTGGGAAAGTGTGAAGGCAAGAGGAGAAGGGGGCAACAGAGGACGAGATGGTTGGACAGTGTCATCGAAGCAACCAACATGAATTTGACACAACTCCGGGAGGCAGTGGAAGACACGAGGGCCTGGCGTGCTCTGGTCCATGGGGTCACGTAGAGTTGGACATGACTTAACAACTAAACAACAACAACAATGGACATTGTAGCTGCTGCCTTCACCAACAATAATGGTCATAGAGAGTGAGGTTAAAACAAAAGAAAAATGTAAAAATATAAAGAAGACAAAAGCCTTGTGACACCTTAAAGACTAAACGCTATATTTCAGTGCAAACCTTCATGAGCAAGTCCACTTCTTCAGACATGTCCATGAATGCTCACACTGAAATATAGTAGTTAGTCTTTAATGTTTTTGTTTTCTTTATTTTTTTTAGTTTTTTCCTGATATGCTACCACAGACTTAGAATTCCTCTTCTAAAATTACATCAACATAGACCGTATTTATAAAAGGTTTAAGAAAGAGAACATAGAAAATAAAATAAAACAAGTATTCCCAGCTCATATGATGTTCCAGTCAACATCATTCCTCAGTTACTTTAGAAAAAACAGGCAAAGAAAATGAAGTAGAAACTATAAATAAAGATACTGCAAGCTAGCTTTGAGGACGTTGACATGGTTAGAAATTAAGTTGTGCCAGTTTCAGAAAAAATCAAATATCAATACCAGTTGGGTTATAGCACAGATGGAAAAAAAAGCATTGTTCAGCAAAATGACTGAATTTTAGATCCTTAAAGACCACAGATGCAATATACTAGAAAATGAATTTAAATTTAATGAGACACAGTGATCCAGATAATAAGCATAATGAAACTCTGATTGACAAGGGTTCACTGACCTGATTTTTAGTGTATTTAATATTAAAGGGTTTCAGGACAACTTTCAGCAAGGTTTCCATAACACTATATGACATGTATATAATAATGAATAACTGTTCAATTCATATTAAAAATAGCAGGCATAAGTACTGGAAAAGATTAATAAAACAGCAAGAGCTATAAGCTCAAAGACTAAAACTAGAAGCTCAAAATAGATTCATGAAAAGCTGAGGATTTTTAAAAATATCCTACAAAAACATGGCTAGCACAGAAAGAATCAGGCAAATGTGTCTAGCACAAAGGTGGGCAACTTCCAGAGGTCCTGTGGCCACCTGCTCCCATCCTGGCACCTTGGAGGGCTGCACCAATTTACATGATCCCCAATCCCTTAAAAATTATTATAAAATACTGTATGTGTGTGAAAACTCAAGCAGCCCAATTGTGCCCTCTATTGGCCAACTTTTTAAAATAAATCAGTAGGGCTGTGTAGGTGGCCTTCAAAACATGGCTAAACTCTCCCACAACCCTTAAGTGCACAAGGGGACTTTGCGAGTTAAAGATTTCTTTTTTTAAAAAAAAAAGTGTCATATTATTTTAGTGTGAGGATGCTGAGGGGATGCATTTGAGTCTGGAGGACAGGCTCATGCAGTCCATGGGCCTTTTGTTGACCAGGGAGATCATTTTGCAATTGGATACCACCACTGAAAAGGCCCTGGCCTATGCATCTTATCTGTGTAAATAAAATTGCTGAAAATCAGACTTGTGATGTTGCTCTTATATAGAACAGGGAAATTTATTTGGAAGCAAGAAGCCCAGGTCCAAATCACTGTGTCAGCATGTTGCAAATATATTGAGAAACATACTAGAAATCAATTTTCTAACAATATTTATGGATAGCCCCATATATCTGTCACAGTAATTAGGACTGACTTTACACAAGCAAACAGAATACAGTATCTGAACTAATGTTTACATCTTCCTATTTAATGAAGCTATTATGCTACAACATTCAGTATTTCCACTCCAACCCTAGCTGAGTTGAGGTGATTCTACATCTGTCCAGTTGTTGTTTTTATTTTATTTTTTTACCTTATGCTCAGTTTCATCATTGCTCTGGCACTTTCTGTCTTATAATGGTTAGATTGTTATAATGCTTTTATTATATTACTGTATTCCATTCTGATTGTTCGTTTTATTGCAAGCCACCCAGAGTAGTGATGTTGCATTAATGGGAACAGTATACAAATTTGACAGACAGACAGACAGACAGACAGACAGACAGACAGACAGACAGACAGACAGACAGACAGACAGACAGACAGATAGATAGATAGATAGATAGATAGATAGATAGATAGATAGATAGATAGATAGATAGATAGATAGATAGATAGATAGATAGATAGATAGATAGATAGATAGATAGATAGATAGATAGATAGAATTGCTGGAATGGATTTAGCACTATCGTATGTGGATCTGAATAAAAACGGAAAAAATGAAGAAGCAAAAATTGATCAAAGAAAAAAAATCCAAATTACAGAACACTTACCAATCAACCTGGACTCCAACAGCAGTGTCTTTTCCTTCCTTCCTTCCTTCCTTCCTTCCTTCCCCTCCCCTCATCATCCAACATGGTATATTTTCCAATATCTAATTGTTAGGAGAATTTTAAGATCCCCACAATATGTCTCTCTTCTCCACAGAAACACCATCGCTTACGAGAAGGTGTAAGGGTGCCAGTGGCAGAGGCCAAGAAGGACTTTGCGGGTTGGATCCCATGATGACTACCCCAAAGTACCTCTTGGTATTGAGCATCTCATCTGCTACCAGGGAGGCCTTGCACTCCGCTCTCTATTTCTGGCCAAAGATTAGTAAAATACTACTACTACTACTACTACTACTACTACTACTACTACTACTAATACTAATACTAATACTAATACTAATACTAATACTAATAATAATAATAATAATAATAATAATAATAATAATAATAATAATAATAATAATAATAATAATAATAATAATAATAATAATAATGTGTTTAACCTTTTTGAAAGAAACACCCCCTTGGGCCATTGAGGATGTTATCATTGCCCCTCTCCACAGCAGTGGCATGGCGGCAGGGAGGAGGCGATGATAACATCCTCAATGGCAGCAGCGGCAGCAGCACCACATCCGCTGCCAGCACAAGCTGCTCTGGATCTGGTGGCACAGGGAGGGGGGGCGATGATTACTTCCTCAATGGTGGTGGCGGCTCCATCGCCCGCTTCTGTTCCTTCACCCCCACATCACCCCTTTTCGTTCCATCACCCCTCTGAAAAGCAAAATCGCCACTGGTTTAAAGCACGTAATCTCCCACAAAAGAGGTCACAGAGCCTTTCCAATTTGTTTGCCTGCTACCTTCCTTCTTGCTCATTATTTACTTAATTACCTATTAAACTATTTTTAATTCACCATATTTAGGGGGCACAAGCAAAAAAAAAAATCATTTCAGAACAATCCTAAACAATTCAAACACGTTCAAGCAGTTGAAAGCAACCAAAAACACTTTAACAATTCAAATCAAATGCAGATGAAAAGAAAAACCTAGAGTTCTCCAGGTCACATCTACTCTCTTAGATGGGGTGGAGGGATGATCAGGAGGTGAGTGGGGAAAGCAGAGAGGCTTAGAGAAAGAAGGGATGAATTAGACTGTTCAAGTTGAACATTAAAAACACAGTTGAAGGGGCTTTGAGTGTTTGACTTGAACACTCAGTCAGACCAATTGATTTCTGGGATGAGCAAGCAGGTGCTCGCTCATCCCTAAAGAAAACAAAGATAATCATGACTGCAACGTATCCCTGGCGGGGACATTTTTATTTTGCCGAGCAAGCTTTACTCAACACACACACACACATGTTTTATATTTTATATAATCATTCTATATTACATCCATACTCTCTTAGTCTGTAAAACTGCATTTTCTGACTCAATGTAAAAACGAAAGAAAAAGAGACAAGAGAAGACAACACTGACCTTTTAGTGCTAAACATAATGGTAGGTGTTCTGTTTCACATTTATGGAAAATCAGCCTTGAACAAGTCTTGTTCCAGATGACCTGGTAGAAGGGGCGGGTGGGGGCAAACACAACATAAAATTTCAGGTTAAGCAGAGAACCTGACATTACTACCATAAACAAATACTACAGCACATTTTGTTTGAATTTGAAGAGACAGAGAATTAAACCCAGCTTTGTTACCATCCTGATTCCCAGCCAGACATAAAGTTACCACAGCAGTGCCACTTAACTTGGTATTTCTCTGGTGAGCAGCAGGCCAAGAACTTCAGTGTAACCCACCTGCCCACCCACTGCTGCTGGATGGTGACAAGCAGCAGTATTAATACTGAGCACTCTGAAATAACATGCTAAAGAAACTGGGGCAATAAGCAGCCATCTTTAGTATCCCAGGATGCCCCAGCAAACATTTTAAGGGCCTGTAGTGGTAACTGGGATGGCTGAGCCTATTTCAACCGATTCTTTGGAAGCCTTTCTTCAGAGTAATAAGCAAAATAAATAACAGTTAAATATGGTGTGTGGGTAGATTATGCACTCTTTGGCCTGTAAATTAGGAGTCCTTTCTAGTTTTACAGCTCTATGATTCTATTATTTTATCTCTGAGATGGTGATATGACTAGGGATATAATAGCTGCCTTGCCTACATCAGCAAATATTGATTTATTTGGAAATTGAAAAAAAATATCCTGTCTCATTTCAAAAGGTTGAAGGACATACATTCACATTTCCTCAAATACTTACACCCTAAAATACGTACACCCTAAAACTTAGCATCTTGGCATTATTTATAAACAAGCATATTAAGTCTTCATGTGCTACTTTGCTCCTTTTGTTACTAATGCAGATTGAATTATAGAAACCAATAAAAGATAAACATCACACACACACAAAAACACATTTAGGAATAACAAGTAAAAGTTACTTTTTACACACAGAGACAGTGACTAGGTGTTCCATTCTTTTAAAAAACAATACTGATACCTCCCCTGAAAATAACAGGTAATAAGAAATGTATGGTTTCCAGGCTGTGGTCTCAAGATAAATATACAGCCAGAGGTTCCAATCCAACTACTGGTGTATATGTGTGAATGCAGTGTTCTTATCTCGATCCACTTGCCAGCAATCGGAATTCAAATTCCAGTCAACTAAGATTAAGTTTAAATGAGCTGATGAATTCCCTTTCTAGCATGAGTTTGCTCAGCTAGGATTTTAAAAAACCCTTCAGGTGCAGGAGCACTTTCCTCTTTTAAAACTTAAAAACTTTACTTACATAACACATTGGTCCAGTTATATAAGTAAATATATTCAAGGAGTTTAACAATTTGGATTATTGTAGGAAACCAAAGCTATTAGAAAGTATTCAGTAATGTAGACAACTTTAAAAAAATACTATACTTTCTTGAGAATACTTTCAGATTAAGTTAGATTTAACTAACCAAAAGCCTTTGGCTTCAAAATTTGTTATTAATTTGGAAAGTGCTCCAGGGAATTTCACATTAGTACAGCCATTTTGATGTCATTCCAGGTAAAATGTCTTGTTCATTCTAGCTGATAAAATGGCATTCTTTTAAAAAAAAAACATTTAAAAAGCAAATTCATTACTATTGGTTTTGGCATTTTCTTCCAATTTTCCATGATTCATATCTCTCTTGCTGCAGAATGCAAGTGTAAGTTCTCATCCCCATGATCTGTGAATTAAATAAGGTTGACCTTGTTGAGATTCTCCCATCTCAAAGCTCATTAAAACTCCAGTTCGGCATTGCAAAAAAACAAAAATAAAAAACGCTCATGGCAATTTGTATGCATTTAAGGGCATTTTTCACATAATTTGGCAAATACTTTTGAAATGTATGTTTTTCGTTTTAAAATGAAAATATTTTCAAGCTAATTTTTGCAAATGTATGGATTTAGATATACATTTTTTCAGTGCTTGACCTTACAATCCAGTCCATGCAACAAAAAACATGATTATACATAGAGAGGCCATTTTCGTGAGGACATTTAACTGCATCTGGAAGGCCTACAATGATTTGTATGCCTAACATAACAAAACTATATTGTAAATTTATAATCGTGTTTTATGGTAAATAATAACATTATTGGTATTTACCATTTTTTTGCTTCGTATTTGTTTTGTTTTGTGTTTTGTTTTTTCTTTAGATCAAAAATTAGTTTTTTATGTTAAATCTGCAAAAATGAAAGTGAAAAATAAAAAAGACAATTACAAGTTGCATGTGGGTATGTGTTCAGTTTCCAAAGGCAAGAATCAGATAAATTCTGATTAAAAATAAGTTTGATTGATTTATTCCCCCAAACCCAGAATGAAAACATTAGCTATAGATAACTCAAAGGGTCAGCAGTACACAATAAAGGAAATTGAAAAAAATGGCACCCACTCACCATTCCAAATAAAAAAGCAAACAGAGCCAACAGCTGAGTTTACCTCTGAATCATGTATGATGGGGGAGTGTCTTTCACCTCAGAGAGGAGGCTATTTTAGGGGGTAGAAGACTGACTGTGACATACACAATCTGTCTTCAATAGGGCCCTCCAGAGAAAAGAAAAATGCTCCCAAGCTTCTGCTGTCTGAGGCAGCACCTAACTCTGACTAATGATGATGCTGGCCCTACCTCAGACAGCTATAGTCACTGTTGCATCCACCCAGTGTCCTTTATTTTCCCTAAACGCAAGTCCACCCTCTGGATGTGTTTCCTCACTTCACGCTGCCACCAGGTATTATTCACTCAATACCAAATAGATATATCTTAGACATGTGCTGCCAATACAACAGATTTATTGATATTATAGTTCTTATGCAAATCACAGATGTAAATCACAGATGATTAGGATAATTCATTAAATAGCATTTGATTCCACATTGGTTTGTAGGTGTTTTTATTCGCATGTGTTTTTATTCACTTTAATACTCTATGACTATCTATACTTTTGAACTCTTTCCTATTCTCTCTAGCATTCCAACTTTCTAATCTGTGTCTTAACTTTCTCAGTTCACTCTCCTAACTCTCTCTCTCTTCAATTCCCTATCTCCAAACCACTTTTCTCCAACTGTCCTCTCTAACTGTCTAACTGTTCTTTTGGTTTCACCCCTCCTGTCCTATCACAGGCTGCTGCCCTTGATCTCCCCATGATGGACAGGTGTGGTGTGGGCATTCTGCCACAGTCATCAACTAACTTCTGTGCTCAGAATTTCCTTTTCTCAACCACATTCTACAGATGCAGAACAGCATTGCATCAGGCTGTCTAGCATTCATAGTAGATTAAGGTCAGAGCACAAACTGCTTATAGATGGGCTTTAAACCGTGTATTATAGATACTTACATAACCACTACCCCTACGTACACTCCCTTTCCAAATGTTAAGAAAAACCATGTTTATATTACTCTCCTCCCCTCCAGAAGTGTGTGCCTATCTTTTCTCCTACCTATTTTTTCCTACTACAAATCATTCACACAAATATGAAAAAAATTAGAAATAACAATAATTAGGATATAATTATATATGTGTATATTTTTTTCAACCTTCATGTCTGACTACGTGTGACATTAAAATTAATCCCATGTGGTGTAGCAGATAGAGTGCCTGGCTAGATCTCAGGAATCCTGAGTTCAAATCCCTGCTCAGACATGGAACCTTACTGGGGTGTGTGGAACTGGTAAAACCACTCCTTAAATATTTCACTTGCCTTGAAAGCCCTATTATGGCCGCAATAAGTCTGTTCTGACTGGTTTAACAACATGACTTTATTTTTTTTTTTAACCCTCTGAGTGCATTCCCTGTCAATGTCCATACAGAGCTGATACAGGGGATATTTGTGAACAAATGCACTTAGGAGCAGCAGAGGGTTTTTTCTTTTCTTTTTTTTTAACCTGGCTTTAGGAAGGAAACCTGCCCAACCCATTGAAAAAAAATCCAAAACAAAACAAAAATCAAAACTGTAATTGACTGCGCAGACACTTTCAGTTTTGTTTCTAAAATGGCAAATCTTCAGCTTTAAATTTTTCCCCCTCCAGGTCTCTTGGCTTGTTACATCCCAAAGAGGGTGCAAGAGATGTAAATTTAGACTTGAGACCTCCCAAAGTTGCCTACAAAATGAAAAAAACTCATCAATGCTGGTACAGCTGGAACTGTTTTATTCTCAATGAATACAAAACATCTGCATTGCTGAGAATGGGCAGCAGTTCTAGAAAAATACTTTTCAAAATAATCATGACATGAAGTGATGTAGAGAGCTTCTAAGGTGCTTTGATCTACTTTATGCTCTTTGTTTTTGATCCATAGATCAATACAGATACAGGGCATTTGGAGTTATACTCTGTCCATAAACTTCCCTGTTATTCTTAACCAGTGATACGTAGCCTGATTTTATGCCTAAATCCTGCTGATTTGCATGAAGCTTACTGCCAAGTACATTTGCATAGGACTGTAGCCTTAATGAGATAATGTTTTCTTGCTTACGCACAAAAAGCCTCTTGCATGAAGCTTACTGCCAAGTACATTTGGATAGGACTGTAGCCTTAATGAGATAATGTGCGGCCTCTCCCACAACTCATCCTAGTGGCCAAATATATAGACTAATGAAATGATAGAGCTTATCAAGAAACACGCCACCTTTAACCTATCAGATTACTGCCTCTGACAGGATGACAATGAGAGTTGACAGGGATGTCTAATCTAGTGACATCTAGTCGCATTTCAAGACAGCTTTTGAGACTGAGCCCATGTAGAACACCGATGCCTGTACAATCACTAATATATACTGCCTTAAGAAGATAGTGTACTAGGCTTGACAAGAGCTCTGCTAAGAAGGGAACAGGCAACATGTGGCGTTTGAAACAAACTTGACCTCAAGTTTTATTTTATTAAATTCAGTAGACTGCAGCTGTTGAGAAAGCAAAGGTGTGCTATTTTGCATAAAAAATTAGGATCACGAAGGCTTAGGGTTCAAATCCCACAGGAAAATTAAGATAACACTATCCATCTATCTATAAACCACATTTTACTTACAAACTTAGCCTGATTACAAGG